CTCATCTAGCCTAAGTGCCTTACTGCAGGGAAGGGCTCTGGGTCTGTGGGCAGGAAAAGGTGCCCGGTGGGTAAGGGCAGAAGCATCCTTCTGCAAACGGGCATACTCTTCCTAATTAGTGTCCCCAGCGACTTTATGTGATGGATTCTGTTGTCGTCCCCATTTTAAAGATGATCTAGCAGAGGCAGAGAAAGGTAGAGGCATTTGCCCAAGCCACTTTGTGCCTGAGCCAGGATCCAAACTTCGCTTGCCTGACACCAAAGTCCCGGCCTCTCAAATCCTAAAATGTTCAGGAACAAGGCATTTTTCGTTCCCAGAGCTGAGGTCTTTCTGAGCCTCCTGTCTCTGCAGGGCGGGTCCTACTGTCCCCACACTGCAGATGGGAACACTGCAGCTGGAAGCTCAGGGCTTTCCTCAGAGAGGAAAGTTATCAGGGCTGGGTCTAGGGCCTACTGAGGGCTGTGGTCCTGGGATGGGGGAGGAATGTCCTGGGATAGTGGTGGTGGAGGTAGAGACCAGGTCTCCAAGTGCAGAGTGACAGGGGACTGGCTGTGTAAGAACAGGGCGTCGGTGATCAGACACCACTATTGTTCATTCCTCACAGCGGGCAGTGGCCACTCGGGGCCAGACCCCAGTCTGGGCTCCCGCCAGTGCAGGAGGAACCCAGGGTGTCCCCGCCCCCTGCTGGGAAGTTTCTCCCGCGTGGCACTCAGAGCGTCCCGCAGCGTTTCAGGATAAGGCTTCCCGCCTCCCCTCCTGCCCGCCCCATCGCAGGTCGGACGGCCGGTGCGACCGGCCTGGGACCCACCCGCGCCCTGACTGCTCCTCCTGCGGGGTCTGCGGGCGGGGCCGGGGCGTGACGTCACGCCGGGAGCCAATGAGACCGCGAGGCCCCGGGGCTCTATTGCGCAACAAAGAGGACCCAGAACTTGAAAGGATTCCCCGGGCTCGGGCTGCTCCCGCAGGGCTCGCAAGGGCCTGCGCCCCCGGCTTCCGCCCCACTTTGGTCTCCGCCCGCGCTGCCGCCGATCGGTCCCGCAGAGCCGGGCCGGG